ATTTTTGAGTATGACCTGATGATCTCTGAATTTCCTCAGTGTCTGTCTGTTTGTTATGTCTCCCTTTTCATTTCTGATATTGTTAGTTCGGATGTTCTCTCTCTGCCTTTTAGTTAGTTTGGATAAAGGTTTGTCAATTTTGTTGATTTTCTTGAAGAACCAAGTCTTTGTCTTATTGATTCTTTGTATTGTTTTCTTTGTTTCTATTTTATTGGTTTCAGACCTTAATTGCTGTCCTTGCCTTCTGGGTGAGTTTTCTTCTTTTTATTCTAGAGAGTTCAGGTGTTCTGTTAATTTGTTAGTGTGGGATTTTTCCAGCTTCTTTATGTAGGTACTTAATGCAATGAATTTCCTCTTAGTACTGCTTTCATTGTGTCCCATAAGTTTGGGTATACAGTGAGGTCAATTTCATTGCATTTTAGAAAGTCTTTAATTTCTCCTTTATTTCTTCCTTGATCTAGTGGTAATTTGGTTGAGCGTTTGTTCAATCTCCATGTTTTTGTGGGCTTTCTGAAATCAGTGTTGCTGTTGAATTCTAACTCTGAGCTGTGGCAATCTATAAGATACATGGGGTTATTTCAATCTTTTTATATCGGTTGAGGTTTTGCTTTGTTACCGAGTATGTGGTATGGGAGAGCACTGTCCATGCCTGTGTACTTGCATGGAGGCCTGCGAGAGTGCCAGGTATCCCTCCTTTCTCACCTTCTGTCTGTCTGAGACAGGTCTCTCCCTGAACCTTGGGTTCATGTTACCTGGGCTAGGTTGAAGCCAGCAAGCAAGCCCCAGCCATCCTCCAGTCTCAGCCCCATGTTTAGCTGGGCTTGTGGGCTTGTTATATGGATGCTTACCCTGAACTCCAGTTCTCATAATTGTCCAGCAAAGGCTATTAATTCCTGAGCCATCTCTCCAGCCTGGGGATTAGCTTTGCATCTGCTATTGGTGACCCCTGCTGGATGTATAGCAGATACTATGTGTAACACCTGTTTTCAGTATCCAGCAACAGAGAATAACACTTATTAGTGCTTTTTGGTTTTGTGTTATCTGGTTTGGCCTGTTGTCTATATGCAGCCTCAAGTCAGTTAGGAATTCCATGCGCTAGAGAAAAAAAGAGAGAAAAAAAATTTATTCTCTGTGTCAACACATACATCACTGTCTTTGTTTCTTGTGTAGTTGAATCTAATTTCATTTCCTTGAAGCCAATGTTCACTTTCTTCCACCAATAGCCTACTTTTATGTAACCCAGGGTTGGGGCCAAGTGTTTGCAGCATGAAACACAATTTTATTTAAACTAGATGGAAATAGGTAGGAAAAAAATCATGCTCAAAAGACTGAGCAAATAGCATGAGCAAAGTCCTGGGTTCCACCCCTAACCAATAAACAAACAAATGTTTTAACCTATGGCTCTCTGTGCACCTGTCTGTAACTGAGATATGTCTTTGCATATTATTGAAGTATAAAGGATTTACTAACTCTAAACCGTATTAACACACTTGATTATAATGTCTCTGATATTAAAAGACCATTATTCTGTAGCGATATTTTGTTTATGCTCTAACAAATAAAGCTTGCCTGAAGATCAGAGAATGAAGCTAGCCACTAGTTAACCATAGAGGTCTGGAGGTCTGTGCAGACAGACAGGAAGTGATATGGCTGGGCAGAGAGAGGAATATAAGGCCGGAGGAGACAGGGGTGTGGCCTTTTATTTTGACTGAGGAGTTAGCAAGGTAAGAGGTGGCTGTGACTTGCTCCTTTGTCTCTCTGATCTCTCAGCATTTACCCCGATATCTGGCTTTGGGTTTTTATTATTAAGACCAAGTAGAACTCATGTGACATAATTCTGATGGGTTTGTAGAAAGAATGGGAGGAGTAACTGCTTAGAAGTGATGCTTAGCCTTCCCAATAGTGAAACACTGTGAGTTAAACATTTCAGATAGCATGCATTTTTGTGGAAAGGTCTCCAAGATAGCCTTGCTATTTGAAATTAAGTCCTTACCCTCAGGAGAGGCACTGGCAAACTGCTCAGGAAAAAGCCACCAGAGTGCTATAGCCCAGGCTTTTACCCATCCTGTCTTAAAACTGTTCTGCCTAAAAGTTCTTTTTTTTTTTTTTAAGTTTTTTGAGACAGGGTTTCACTGTAGCTATCAAGCCTGTCCTGGAACTAGCTCTTGTAGACCAGGCTGACCTCAAACTCACAGGGATCCACCTGCCTCTGCCTCCCAAGTGCTGGGATTAAAGGCGTGTGCCACCACCACCTGGCCTGCCTGAAAGTTCTGTTTGAGGCCCAGAATCTCTAAATGGCAGAGCTTTATAGAAAGCCCTATAGAAACGTGTCCCAAATCCCACCACCGATGTTATCAGTGATAGACTTCTGGATATCGTCTCTTGAATGGCTGTCACACTCCATAGCAGCTAAAGGTGTTTGCTCTCAAGCCAAGCAAGCCGAGTTCAATCCTGGAGCCCACTCAGTGGAAGGCGAGAGCTAACTCTTGTAGATTGCCCTCTGACCTTTAAATGTGTGTCATGGAACGTGTACATCCTTGTGAGCACATGCACCTGTCTTTCCAAACAAATCAATGTAAAAATTCAAAGAAGAGAAGACAGAGCTCTCTTAGCACAGTAGGCAGACCTCAAAGAAAAGAGGGATTTAGGCTGATTAACTAACTGAAATGGTGGTAAAATGTGGAAAGAATTTCTTGGACTTAGGGCCCTAACCTAGAAAAGAGGAACAAATAATTCAGGCTTCAGAAGCCCTGCAGTTTGTCTCAGAGCCTGTTAAGCAGAAACTCCTTGTTTTCATCTTAGTAAGTCATGGAAAGCTCTGGATTTGCTCAAAAACAGTGAGATTTATAAGTGGGGAGCCACACCAGCCAAAGACTTCCTCAGAGGCCCTGATGAGAGGACAAAGGGAACTTCAGTTGTGTCTGTGTCCAGAAGTGGACTTGGCAAGGACAGTTTAGGGTTGGGGACAGTGCCCCTCAAAGGAGTCAAGGTCCAGGGACAAGTTCTTCCCACTGGGCTGTGGCTGTGAGCCTGAGCTATCATCCCATGTTCTCTTTGGCAACACTGTCAGACTTAGCTTTCCACTGACCTTGGCTACACAGGTCTCCCGCACCCAGCAAATAGTATATCTGATGTTTTAGTTCTTAATAAATTTGCTTGGCATCTTTAAGTCATCAGCTTCTGCAAGACTGGTCCCAGCTATTGCTTTTGACTTCTCATCTGTCTTCTCTATTTCTCATCCCTGGTCCTCCCATTCAACAATCCCTTGCCATTTGGGACCCTTATTTCTGCTGGTTTGGGTTATTTATACAGTTAAATTGCAATATGGATGTAAAAAATCAGGCCAAGGGTCAGGGAGATGACTCAGCCAATAAGGACTTTTGTTGCCAAGCCTGAGGATGAGTTCGATCTTAGGAACCTTCGTGGTGGGAGGAGAGACTCCTGTGTGTTGTCCTCTGAGTTCAATCCTAGGAACCTACATGGTGGGAGGACGTGTGTGTGTTGTCCTCTAACCTCCACACATTCACATGTGCACATACACACACACACACACACACACCCATTCCTCACAGCATAAAGATAAATGGAAATAATAGGGCCCGACCTAACAAAACCAGACTCAAGATGAAAAATGTTAATAGAGGAGGGTCACTCTTTCAATGGCCAAAAGGGAAGAGGCCGCCAGAGACACTCAGAGTGAGATCCCTGGGCCACTGAGTGGTATCCCCATTGGATGAGCTAAGCAGCCTCCAGATGGACATATGTACAGTAGTCAACAGCCCTCAGTCTAGGGAGAGCTGCTTAGCTGAATTCAGTTCATTGCCAAGCAATAAGGTGCCAGGCTTATGACTTCTCATTGGTTATCTTGTTGATTTCAGTTTAAGGATTATGTACATTGTGGGAAGCACTGAGGTCCTTGTGCTCACAGATCAGCACTAGGGGAACCCAGAATGTCAAACACACAGGCTTGTTCCTTCAAGGGACACATAACCTGCTATCCACCCCGAAGGCTGGGAGCAGACTTCTTAATAAAATAGCCTGATGACATTTTGTACTATCTTTATCGTTTTCGAGACTTGTTGTGAGGTTGTCCACCTATAGAACCTATGGAAGGGGTCACATGTAGCGATCTATAGAGCCCATCTTTATGGAAGATGTCACAGGTACTTTAGAAAGGAGTTTCAGTGCATCATGCCTTAAGGTTTATTGTGCACCTAGACTGAGTTAATTATCACCAGAAAGGTTTTCTATAAATTGTGCTATGCTTAAATATTCCTAAAATAAACTACTTAGTGTCAGACTCTCAAAGTTTGACCAACACTGGCTAATTAGTCATGTTGAACACCTTCATGCCTCGTCTGCTGGCCGTGGCAATTGCAGAGACCCTCCCAAAGTATATGGCCCTATCGGGCAACACCAGATTTGCATATAACTCAGTAATTTTACCTAGCAGTACCTGTAACACAGCTTTTTAAAAGTTTATGTGAAAGAATATTTGTCTGCATGTTTGTAGGGCACATGTGCATGCAGTGGCTACACGGAAAGAGAGCTGGATCCCCTGAAACTGGAGGTACAAATTTGTGAGCTGCTGTGTTGGTGCTGGGAACCGGACCCCAGTCCTCTGCAAAGGCAGCCAGTTCTCTTAACCGCCGAGGCATCTTTCTAGTCCCCCTTGATTCTCTTTTGTTTATAGTATCCGGATCAAGTTTATGTGGTTACAACTGATATAACACCTACTTTTCAGATGAAGGGATTTAACTCAATCAAGTCTCAGTCAGTCAAATCACTTTCTAGTTCATGGCTCCATCTCCTAGGTTTTAGTAAAAGGTGAGCTAATGATACCCGTCTAGTAGGGTTAAAGAGCATCTCACTTCTCTTTCATAATTAATGACTTTTTCTTCTCAAACCTACCTCTAAGAGAAAAATATTTTAAATTACTTTTAGAAATGACCATTAATATAATCAACAAAGTATATAATCAAAGAGCTAGAACACAAACAGACAGCAATAGTATTTTATTTAAACATGATTTTGTAAACCATCACACTGTGTACTTTTTAGTTCAACAAGAACATTATTCCCCCCTCCCCCAGACTTACAATAAGCCCTGTGCAAAGTCAAAGAGTTAATACAAGAGTGAAGATAAACAAGGTGGAAATTCTCAAAGTGTCAAATTGTGGTACTTGATACAAAGACACACAACCACCTGTACCATAAAAGTTTACATGCCATAAAACATTCATTTATAACTTTAAATATAGAGTAAAACACATTTATTTAAAAAAATCAGGGTTAATTTTAATATAAACCAGTGAATTATCCAAAGGAATATTTCTTAAAACTCACTAAAAACCAGCAAATATTGCAACTGAGGTAAAATTTACATGTAAACAAAACCATCATTTGTAAGGACGCAGGAGTGCAGAGGCCGCATCACTCCTTGATGTTCTGAAGCAGCTTCAGCAGATGTGACTCAATGACCTGCTGAACTGCAAAGACAGGCCACCACGGTCACAGCACAGAAACAAGCAAACACGAGTAACAAAAGGCTGGTCTATAAATTCAACTTAGCCCTGGTATTTTGTAAAATGAAGTTATTTCTAAGCAGGACTCATTTATAGTCTGAGGACAATGTGCCACAGTCGCTCTTAAAATTAAGGCTGTTCCGAATTCAGCAACTGCCTGAGCTTCTGCGTTTTCTATACTGAGGTTTTATCTTTTCTTTTTTTAAAGTAAGAACTCCAAAGTACATAAATAATTTTTATGAAAACATTTTTGAAAATCTTGCAAATACTGTCCACTTTTCCTCCAGTGACCATTTGAGTTTATGAAAAAGTCCAATAAATGAATTCATTTCTTAACTTTATAGGAATCTGTTCACTTTGCACTCCACGAAAGCATATGTCTGGAGTTAAGATAATATAATGTTTTATGCAAGAAGCAATGAAAAAGCTTTGGGTCACTGGCCTTTACTATACATAAGGCTTTCCTAAGATGAAACCCGAGACTTCTGAAATACTCACCACTTCTATAGCCCAGAGCCACAGCTAAATCCATAGAGTTGTATCCAGAATCTGTTTCAATTGTTGGGTCAGCTCCATTTTCTGTACCAAAGCAGAAAAATGTATATAAATAAAATGAAAATGCAAATGTGTCTATTCCTGGCTCATATGCAAATAGCTGAACAGATCTGCAGCCACCCTGGAGGCATTTCCAACAGGCTCACACAAAGAACCGGGTGCACGGGCTACCCAGGGTGCACTGGTGGGCGGACAGGATACCAAATGTCTCTAGAGTAGCCGAGACTCAAATAACTGGACAACACTCTACAGGAAGACACTGTGCACAGAGGACACAAGCGTGACCCCAGATGTGAGCGGGAAGGGCAAAAGCTTCAAGTGCAGGGGTGGAGTGTGAGCGAGCTCCTCTCGCAGGGCAGTCCTGTGACAACGGAAACCTAGGGACAGACGCCAGCAGGGTAATACAACCAAACACCAGGTGAGCTCCTCTTACGGGGAAACTGAAGATGAGATGCTCGCAGGCTCCTAGTGACGGCTCTGTCACCTGCTTACCTAACAGCATCTTCACACACTTCACGTGGTTCCCATGGACGGCATACAGCAAAGGTGTCCCGCCGTTCTGCAGGGGGAAAGTTGGCAGCATTTTCATTGAGCAAGAGAAACTGGGCATGTAAAAGTAGTTTAAAATAACATTAATATTTTGTTAATAAATAATTGAATTTATGACATTAAGTTGCTCATCCTAAATAAATACATTTTTTCTTCTAAGTCCTTATAAAGCTAATATCTCCCTGAAATCAATTAAATACTAAAAGTTATTACAATAATTGTATTTTATGTATTTATTTTTGAGGCAGGGTTTCAAGTAGTCCTGTGGTCTTAAAATAGTCAAGATAACCTTGATCCTCCTGTGTCTACCTCTTGAGAGCTATCGTTCACTACCAAGCGAGGCACTGGAGATTGAACACAGGGCCATGTGTGCAGGCCAGCATGTTGACAACGGAGGGACAGCCTTGTTACAGAATTTCAGTTCAGCATGTGGACTCACCCAGTCATACTCATTGACATCAACGCCACAGTCAAGCAGCATTTTGACGATATCCGTGTAGCCCTTACTACAGGCCAATGACAGGGCACTTTCTCGACCTTTTCCTAAAAGCTGGGGATCTGCACCCTGCCATGGGGAGTGAACATAGACGACTTCAATTAACTCAAACAAGAACACTTGTTTCTGTCAACATGATTACAGTTTAACAGTGAGGTCAGGCCACATTCTGGGATTAAGGAGGAAATAACAGAAACATGATACATGTGCTTGTAACAAACTGCCTGGATGCCTTCATTCCTCCCCTCCAGCTGCCTCAATCCTCACTCTCCTCCACTCTGGAAAACGGCCCAGCTCCTCCAGCCTTTCCTCCAGGACCTGTGACAGTACTTCTGTTCCTGCTGCACTGGGGGCTGGACACTCAGCCCCTCTCACTGACTTATAGACGATTAGCGCTGCTTTCCCAGCTAGACCCAGGCTCCGCAGGAACGGTAAAGGCAGGGATTTATTCTGTACTCTCAATCTTCATGTCTAGTTGGCTGCAGATATAAAGACTGCACTAAAGCCTCAACTGGGCTCAAGAAACTACACATACACATTTTCTGAGCGTTTTCCTTACATTCTGAAGTAGGAACTCTACCACAGCTATTTGCCCGTGTGCCGCAGCCCACATCAGGGGAGTAAATCCTTCTTCATCCGTGTGATTGATAACATTTTCTATTTAAAAGAAAAGCAATTTTTGTGATCTAATTTAACAACCACATATTAATATCACTTTGAAACCACTGGTACTCTAAAATCTTATGACTCAATGACATTCAGGGAGATGACTTTGTTGACTGAGGTCTGGATGTGCTGCTGTGACCGTCAGTTTGGGCATGTTAGATGTGCCCCACTGTAAAGACGCTGGGCCCATGGGACACATTCTGTAAAGAAAGCACCACACACAGCATCACGTAGGGAACGGTTGTCAGCATCGTCTCAGGGACAGGGGACTCAAGATAGAATCCTGGCTCTTTCATTTTCTAGTGGTTCTGTTCTGGGCAAGTGACTTAATCTCTGTTAAACAGAGTTTTATAGCTTGCTTATCTCACTACATGTATCTCAATACATGGGAAGATCACAATACAATGATATATGATAGCCCTTAGCGTGACCCAAATGTATACTTAAAGCTTCAGCAGTTTTCAAAAGCTACCTTCCCTCTAGCTAGCATTGCTGCCTGTGATTCTCCTTCATTCGTGCACTTGCTAACATAAAATGCAGACTGGCTAATCTAAAACAGTATCACACAATTCCTCCTTTAACCTCATTCTATTCCCTGAATGTAGTCTAATAGTTATAAACTGCATAGCTTTCCCCCTACAGTTATTCAGTAGGTTGAACATAAAATTTGTACTTTTTCAAAAATGTATTTTTATTTTTTAATTATGTATGTGTGGGGTGGGTATAGGTGCATGTGAGTGCAGGTGCTGGTGAGAACCAGAGGCATCAGCTCCCCATGGAGCATTAGGTGGGTGGAAACCACCTAATGAGGATGCTGGAAATCAAAGTCAGGTCCTCTTCAAGAACAGCACCCTCTCTTAGGTTCTGAACCATCTCTCCAGCCCCTGACAGCTAAGTATAAACAGAAATACATCTAAGTCTTAGGAAAATAAAACTCTTGGATCATGCTCTCATAATCAACAATAATGGGACACCTAAATTAAAAAAAAAGCAACAGTTTTCCTACTGTCTATTACACTGAAAAGTATTTCATATGCATAAAAGATTATAAAAAAGGAGACCCTGTAAATTTTGGCATAACAATGGGTGGTTTCTTTAATCTTATAATCCTAGAGTGGGGAATCTTTTCTAAGCAGGATGTAAAATTCCAAATTCAAAAAGAAGAAAAATTTACAATAAAAAATCTGAAGAGGTCATGCAAAATGGACAAACTGGGGAAAATATATCAGGGAACAACAGAAGTCAGTTTCTTTCACTTTGGAGTTAATATGACACAAATATACTGTGGGTAGTTCACATAAAAATTATAATATACATCAATTATAACAAACATCAATGGAATTACCGTGAGGTACCATTTTCACCCACAGATAGCAAGAATTAAAGACTCACTGCATCTATGACAGTTTGGGGAAACTGCAACTCTAACACTAATGTGAGGACAAACATCGGTTAAAATCTAAGAATAAGAAGGCAGAGGTACAGGTGTGCTCTGTGGCAGAACACTGGCCTAGCCCATGTGAAGAGCTGATTCACTACAACAAAAACCATCTAGTTTGTGACCTGTTATACCTATGTATGAAAATTTACTCAATGGGTATATTTATAAAAAATGCTAGGATTCCTGGCAAACATTTGTAATCAGCCAGATGTTAAAAGAACAAATAAAAATCATAGTATATGCATATGCATTATAGTGGAAAAGTATAAAATGACTGGGTGTAGAGGTACACACTTAGAATCCCAGCACTCAGAAGGTGGAGATAGGAGGACTGTGAGAGGGAGGTCATCTTGGACAACACAGTGAGAATCTCTGTCAATAAAAAGATCTCGGGGCTGGAGAAAAGGCTCAGTGTTTAAGAGCAGTTCATGATTCTTGCAGAGGATCTAGGTTCCCAACACACACATGGTGGCTTGAACCATCCTAACTCCAGTTCCCAGGGATCCTCTTTTCACTTCACAGGCCCCAGGCATGCAAATGTTACATATACTGGCAAAACATGCATGTGCATACATGTGCAGGACACACACACAGACACTCAGATCTTTGGTATGCTTCATACTCAGATCTGGGTACACAGCTTCAAAATATTAAATGAAAAAAGACACATTGTAGTGTATGTAAGATTTTTTTGTTTGTGTGCCTAACAAAAACACATATATATTCTCAAATATAACCCTAAATGGAAATGTTTTCTAGAAAAATTTCCTGAAAATACAAAAAATTTACAATGTTTTGGAGAAAAGTAAAGGAAGCTAAAACTTTCTTTTTTTATTAAATTGTGATTTTAACTGTATGGATTTTGTGCTTTGCATGTATATATACATACTACATGTGTACCTGGTACTCTTGGAGACTAGAAAGAGGGCATCAAATCCCCTAATCCTATATTTACAGATGGTTATGAGCAGACAAATGGGTGCTGGGAACTAAACTTGGGCCCTTTGGAAAAAGAGTCAGTGCTCTTAGTCTCATAACCATCCTAAAACCCCAAATTTTATACTTTATATTACTTAAAATTTTCCTTTTTTGCTATCCATTAAGTTATGTATTTGGTGAGATTATACAACTTCTTTTGTCTTTATAGTTTCCTATAAGAAAATAAATAACAAACCCAATACATTCAAATGAATATTTAAAATACAATACTTAAAACTAGACCTTGTTCAATATGAGTACCTTGTTCAATACGAGTAGCCAGGTAGAGCATTTCTCCTTGAGCTGCCAACTGGTGGACAGACAAAGCTGCAAAAACAACATAAAATCCTTCAAGTGCATCTGCGTACACAGCTGTCACGCCATGGTGAAGCCAGTTTTTCCCAAAACAAAACCCACCATTTTATCATTTAAGCCTAATAAAGTATCAAGTATTACAGATAGTGTTCTCTGAGTACTGACTCATATGTTAATATGACATCTGCAAATTATTTTTGGGCAAAATTTATCCTAAAGAGTGATTGAGATACCTAATTTTTAACATGCTACTTAAGTATCCAAACTTATGAAGGATGCCCCAAAAGACACAACAATATTCGTTTTTGTTTTCTTTTTCTTTCTTTTTTTTTTATTTATTATATATAGTGTTCTGTCTGCATGCTTGCTTGTATGCCAGAAGAGGGCACCAGATCTCATTACAAATGACTGTAAGCCACCAAGTGGTTGCTGGGAATTGAACTTAGAACCTCTGGAAGAGCAGTCAGTGTTCTTAACCTCTGAGCCATCTCTCCAGCCCTCGTCTTGGTTTTCTTTGTGATTCCACTTTTATACTTGATTTTCCTGAGAGAGGGTCTGACCATGCTGCCCAGGCCAAAGCTGAGCACGTAGACGCAAGCAATCCTACCACCTCAACCTTCTGAACAGTTGAAACCACAGGGATATGCCAACCCTCCCAGCCTTTTAAATGCTACATACATGTATTTTAAATTTATGCAAGTAGGTGTTTTGCCTGCAATACCCATAGAGGCAAAAGAGGGCCTCAGACTCCCTCTATCTGGAGTTACAGGGGTTGACAGGCCAGTAAGTCTGGGAATCTAACCCACGACCCCTTGAAGAGCAGCCAGTGATCTTAACCGCTGAGCCATCTCTCTAGCCTCCTAAATATTTTTATTTTGAAGTTGGATGAGTTTTCTTAACATTAGGAATGAGTTCATAAATAGACAACTGTCTGTGTGAGATTTTTCTTTTTCGTTGAGGGGGAAAATTTAATCTTAAAGATAGTCTCATTATGCAGCCTGGACAGTCCTAAAGTCCAAGCTCAGGCTCCTGGGCTCGGGGACTGCAGGTGTGACGGCCATGGTTGGTGAGAGTCAGTCTATGAGTAGAGGTTTAGCTGAGGCTAGTTAGCATGTTAACTCTGCCTAGCTGATTAAAACTTTTACTCATAACATGGGGACAGTTTTTAGCTTTTTATTATTTTTTTTTCCAGCAGAGAAGGTGTATGGTTGGAATACTGTCAGACAATCTCTTTGAGAAGCACCTTTAAATAATACCACCTTTAGTGATATGACTGGGTAGTCTTAATTCATAAAGGCAACTGTGCGGCACACACACATAAGTAAACTAGAAATGGCCCACAAGTGGAATTAGAACGCTTGAGGAAGAGTCTTCCTGGCTCAACTGCTACAGTTCGCAGTTCTGAAATCTGGAGGGATTTAGGATTCCCAAAGACCAAGATTTCATCAGGCTTTAGAATATACCACACTTGCATCATGGTATCAAATGTAGTTACTGTCCTGTTAGCTGGTTTTCTCTCATTCAAATACTCATGCTTCCCTGAATACCTATTAGCTAATAGAGAAACTTTAGATCCTATACAATGACTTGCACTCAAAGTTTTTTAAAGGCTAGTTTCATATTTTACATTAATGAAACATTTCAGTAGAAATTATTTAATTTTTAGTACAAAATATTTCTTCATCTGTGAAATAAGTACATATTTACAATAATTAAACATTATATAAGTTAAACATGAAACCCAAAGAATACAAAATCATTGATATCTTAATTTATAAATAATTCACAGTAATGCACTTCTTTATGGTAAAACTATAAAGGTTTTAATAATATTTTAAACTATATTTGTTCGCATAGAGATATAACAGTGAAACATATAAAAACACATTAGAAAGTTTCAACTTATTAAAATGACTAATATATCACTTAAGCTTTTAAAACTAGATTGTTTAAATTTGGTGAAACTACTACTTCAGAGCCAAACTCCTAATATGTAACTGCATTAGTTAATTGCACTAGCAGTAATACTTCAGAACATTCTTCGCATACTTACAATTTGCTAACAGAGGTGTGGTAGAGACCTCATTTCCCCTGTGCTTGTTGGTTAAAGTTGTAGACTGTTTTATGGGTGAGAAATGTTTCGTCGTAGAAGGGGTGTAGACATGCCTTACTTGAATTCCAGGAGAAGGAGATGTATGGATATTGCACTCAGCTAAATAAACAAATTAAAATAGTATTTTAATGACAAAGCATTCTAATAAAAGTGTCAATGTTCACATGAAAAAATGTATGAGGTCTAACAGCTTCAATTCAAGTGTTTATCAGGTGATACTAATTTTGTATTAGTCTATACTACTACAGTGTAAGTTCTACAAAGAAATCAATGTTGAAAAATATTGAGGCTAGCTTTAAGATTAACAGATCACTGAATTAAGTAGTAGAAGCAGATGTAAATTAGTCATGAAACAGGAAATAGTAAACAACGTTTAAAAAAGAAAAGGAATAATGTTCTATTATTTAAAAACATACAACTAGGCTGGGTGGTGGTGGTGCACATCTTTAATTCCAGCACTCAGGAGGCAGAGACTGGTGGACCTCTGAGAGTTCAAGGCCAGCCTGGTCCACAGAGCTAGTTCTAGGGCAGTCAGGGCTATACAGCGAAACTGTCTCAAAAAATAAATAAACAAATAAATAAATAAATAAATAAAAAGACACAACTAAGAACAACTGCATTAGGGAAATTGTAAATAAAGGTCAGGCAAAGATTTTATTTATTTGTGAGACAGGGTATCACTGTGTATCCCCGGATGGCCTGGAACTCACTATCTAGACTAGGCTGGCTTTGAACTCACCTGCCTCTGCCTCTCAAGTGCCGGGACTAACTAAAGGCATGCATCACTACACCTGCTTAGACAAGGAATATTTTTGAAAATTAACAGAAACTTCATGCTGGTTTCTGTGAGATTCTAGAAAATCTCCTAAAAGATGACTTTCAGGCTCTTCCTTAGCTCTGATCTCATGGCAGAGAAACCAAAATGGAGCTGGGCAAATGAAAAGGGAATGTAGGGATCAGGACCATAACTTCCAGGAAATGAAAGGGAACATTGGGATCTGGACCATAACTTCCAGGAAATGAAAGGGAACATAGGGATCTGGACCATAACTTTCAACCTTTAAATAAGACAGATGCCACCTCCAGGTCAGAGTTCACTTGATCTTGAATATTTTTACTATCCTCTTCATTTAAGGACTTCACAAATCGAGAACATACGTTCATATCAAATCGGTTTGGCAATATGAACTTCATTCCCATGGCAACACCCTGAGCTGACCCTTCTTCTGAGTTTGGGTCCAGCTGGTGCTCAATTTTGATGTCTGGCATGCCAGAAAGACTATAGCTGCTGGAACACTCTTCCACAATCAGCTGGGCCCCAATGTCCAGATTTGCTGATGTAGCCATGGTTTCAATAATTAAAGCAGTTCTTCATAGTTTCTTCTTGGTGTTTTAAGGGTGTGATCCAGTGTATTCTTGGAATTGGGATATTAAAATACCTGTAAGGAAAAATTTAGAAAATTTAAAGCAGCATATTAACTTATGAACGTATACATGCAATTGCTTTCAGCCACACATCCAAACAGTGCTCTTGTGAGCCTTTATCCATAATACAAAGTAAACAACATTCAGAGGTAGGTATCTGCCCACGAACTCAAGCTTTGCCATTAGCTATGTGATGTGTACGAGTTACTGAACCTGACAAAGTCTCATTTATAAAAAGAAATACTGCCATTAATTCACAGGATCCTGGAAAAGGATGAGGAAATACAGTATACTTCCATCACTGTGTCCAACACATTTCAGTTGTTTCTACCCTTTCCTATATCTGACTATTGCCTAATGTTACAAAACTTAGTTAAAAGTTAGCTATTACACTTATTTGTTTGCATGTGTGTGGGAACACATGGGCTACGGGTTGCATGTAGAAGTCAGATGACAGTCCCTTCTATCATGTGTGTCTCAGGGACTGAACTCAGGTCATCAGGCTGGTCAGCAAGTGCCTTTACTCACTGAGCTCTCTCTCCAGACCTACAAAATTTACTTTTGAAGAATCAAAAGTATATTTGTCAGCTTTTTTTTTTTCAGAGTAAACATAAACAACTTCATGTGAGTTTAAACAAAAAATAAAATCTGTAGATTATGGACTGGCATCACAGGATAAAAAACAGCCCTAAATACATAGTTCCTTGAAACAGGAAGAAATGAACATCCAGTTAGTTTTTTGTCATGTGACAACATATTGCACCTTGGACATTTTGAAAGGGTGCTCAATGTGCAATGATCAGAAGTACTTGGAATCAAGAGAAAAATGAATTAATCATGTGCCCACTGTTCAGTTTTAATTTTAAAATCATTTCAAAAGATTGATTCTGCTGTGCATGAAGCACTAGAGGGCAGGAAAGCAGTCTTCCACAGAGACATGCACACCAACTGGTTATGGAATAAGTGGAATAGTCCTGAAAACATACATATGAGTAACAGCATACAAGCCAGGTGTGATGGCTCACACCTTTAACCTCAGCACTTGGAAGGCAGAGGGAGGTGGGATCTCTGGGAGTTCGAGGCCAGCCTAATCTACATAGAAAGTTCTATGACAGTCAGAGCTACAAAATCAAGAAACCCCAAAATCCTTAAAAGAGACAAATAAATAACCAGACAGTGGTGGTGCACGCCTTTAATCCCAGCACTCATGAGGCAGAGGCAGGCGATTTCTGAGTTTGAGGCCAGCCTGTTCTACAGTTGTGAGTTCCAGGATAGCCAAGGGGATACACAGAGAAACCTGTAAAAACAGATTGATCCTCATTACAATTTTCTGAGCAGAATGGGCAGGTAATTATGTTCACCTCAGAGGAATCCTGGGAAACACCCTGCTCTACCAACTCCAGCATTGTGCCCATTAAATAAATAAGCAGCAATAAAAAGAATAGAAAACTCCCAGGGGAGAAACGAAGACACACTATAGTCAGAAAAAGTATCAACGAAGTCGTTACATTTTGTCAGAACCAGACAGAAAGTTAGTTCAGTGACTGAGTGATGGAGACATAGAGAGAAGACCGAGTCTTTTTACATAAAACCTTGACTTGTCCTAGAGGGGCTGTTTTTACTCGGTTTTATAAATGATCGAGTCTCGGGAAATTTATACAATTTGTATCCTAGCACATCTGATTAGTGCGTGTTGAGACCGAGTCTTTTTAAATAGACACCTCATGAAGAACCATTTATTGCTAGGCACTGGTGGGTTGAGAGCAATCCCATCCCCCCCCCCTCCAACCCCGCCCACCATCTCCCTGAGGGGATGGCACGTGTTCCTTTGACAGCTTCCTTCAAGTTCCTATTAAGAAGGACAGATGGAGGCCTTTTTTTTTTTTTTTTTTTTTTTTTTGAGACAAGGTCTGACTTTATAGCCGAGCTTGCTGGCCTAGAGCGCACTGTATTCTGCCTGCTTCTGTCTCAGGAGTGTTGGGATTAAAGGCGTGCGCCTGGTGCGAAAACCACTCTTCGGAGCCACAGCACACAAAACCTACCTGGTGCTCCATGTTTTCTGATCTTAATTTCAACCATGTTTTACATTTCCTTTCTCACATTTTTCTAGTTGGATCTGATTCTCCATTCTCAACACGCACTAATCAGATGTGCTAGAATACAAATTGTATAAATTTCCCGAGCCTCGATCATTTATAAAACCGAGTAAAAACAGCCGTCTCTAATGTTCTTTGCAGCCCCTCTAGGACAAGTCAAGGTTTCAACATGAGGAATTACCGGTCTTGGAAGGAAGAACAGCAAATGCAGAGGGAACGCTTATCTAGATTCTACTCCAGGGAGAAGCAAAGACGTTGATATGCCAAAACGTGAAATACAGGAGAGGGAAAAACGAAATGGCAGAGGACGGGAGTTAACATAAAAGGGTAGGTAGGCTCACCTGCCAGAGCTCAGGGAAGCTTAGGGAGTCTAAACGCAGGCAGTGGGTACCGACCCCGACGAAGCTAACCGCAGGGGCTCCGCGTTCTTCCTAACTCTTGAAATTGTCCTACGAGAGGAGAAAGGTGCTATATATATTTTAAATAAAAGCTGTCTCACAAGCGACAGGTGTCCCGGAGGGCGTTCCCGCTCTGTCGCCGCGGGCTGAGCTCGCTCTCGCGTGGCGAGCGGATCCCGGGACAGGGGACCGTCCGGCGGGTGGCACGACCACCCAGACCGCAGGCGATGCTCCGGTCCGGCCGGGGCCAGCAGCCTGATCTGTAAAGACCCGCAAGCCCGGCCTGCTTCGGGCCCAGACGTCACTTCCTATTTTTTTCCTCTTCTGGAAAAAGCCCAGAGCATTCAGCGTAGGCGAGACGACTTCCGGGGATTTCTACTTGCTTCCCTTGCGCTCCGCAGCCGAGGATCTCAGAGCACTAAGGGTCCCCTCGGTTCCGGGTCACCAGAGAAAGGCCCGGGATCCCTCCCCGACTGCTCCACCTACCAGCGCTCTTTCTTGTAGTTCTGGGTCGCGCACCGCTTCTACACATGCGCCATTACGTCATCTGTCCGCGACGCACTCCTGCGCCTGTGCGTTTCCGGCTCCTGGAGCGTCCGCGTGAGTTTGAGCAAGTGCTTCAGACACATCTCCTGTAGGGAGCTGGCGAAGTCAGGGGAGTCGTCCTGGGAATCGGGGTGCCTCGGCGGACCCGCGGGGCCCCGCGGAGGTAGGCGATGGTGGTTCCCGGTGGCGGCGCAGGCTTGCTCAGGTCTCACTGTGATCTCTGACATGCTGGACATGCTGCCCAGGCTCCGCTGGAGATCACTGAACTTACCTGCCTCCGAGGGTCCTTGCGATTTTATTTCGCCCAGGCTCTGTTTGTTTCTCCGTAGTCGCTCTCCTAGCCGCCGCTGACAGTCCCTGGAGTAACCTGCTCTTCTCCAAAACCAAGGACAGAATTGTGTCCTAGTGATTGGAGCATGGCTGGGTGTTCGTCTCCCTCTGCCCTGCGCCCTGCTCCTTTGATGCCCATCGTGTCATGTTATGCTCACAGACCCCGCTGAACTGGCATACTCTTTCCAGGTGGAAGTAAATAGCTTCCTCTTCTGTGTGCTCACCGCTCTACTTACAGAGTTTATTTGATCACACCTTGTGTTGTAGTGATGCCAGTTGTTCAGTGAACCCCAGTTTTCTTAGGCTCTGGCTCCGGCTTCCATTCGTTGTCATGACATCTCGCTATTTGTTTGCACTGTCTTCCCGCACACGTCCCACCAACGCCGTTCTTCATTTTTGCAATCTAGCAGGGCACCGCAGCTTTTCACTTCTTTCCTCCGGACGCTTTTATTTCTTGAAAAAATAGACTTATGAGGTACTCTTCCTTGGATCTATTCCAGTGCCGGTTTTTGTGTATCTAGTGAACTAAAAGAAATTTTTATTTTAAACAGGTAAACATCGTGCCCTATGTAGAGTGATTGGGCTTGGAATTAAATGAAGTAGCCCTTGACCTCAAAGAATTCTACTCTCTTTCACAAACAACAACGACAACACCAAAGATTGTATCTGATTATTGTGGAAGCCTACTGTACACACTGTAAATTTTTCTTGTAAGTCATTAACTATGTTAATATATATTACATGAAATGTATGTATTTGCTTGTTGGTTGGCCAAGTCTAAAATATTTTACCATCTTGCCCTTGATGGAAAGTATTTTTGAATGCCCGCTGTACTGCTTTGTTCTTGTTATAGACCACTATTGATTTTGATTTTATATTTTCCAATAGGAATTTGCAAGATGCTCCTACCTCCCTTCTAAAAAGATCGTCGTTTGAGCATTTTTCCAAACAAATATTTCCAGTATATTGTTTTATTTAACTGGAAAAAGAGGCCATTATAGTGCAGTGTGACTAAATGCACTTACAGAAACAGAACCAAAAAAGGATCGTGGGAGAGAACACCCAGTCTCAGTAGGCAGAGAGGGATTTCTGAAGGACAGTCTGATTTCCTGTGGCGATCTTAAATAGGAGGTGGATGGAGAAAGGTCCTTCCTGGTCGAGAGCACATGCTGAAGTCAGAAGGAATGAGAGTGCCGAGTTTAGTGAACTGTAAACAGTTGGTAATAGCAAAAGGTGACACTTAAAGGGCCAGAGCAAATGAAACCTTGCATGCTAAGAAGCTAGGGCTTCATTTTCTGGACAGTGTTCAGTTTTGTAGCGACACTGGTAACTATTTGGAAGATGGATACAGGAGTTGAGGAGACTTTCAAATGGCATTGTTTCTATTCCATAATCAAAAAGACACGAGTAAGTGTAGTTGAACTCGGGTTAAGTGGAATTTAGGTTTAGAAATATTTGAGAGATTAAGGCTGGGGAGATGTTTTAGTGAATTATAGTGGGGTCAAATCCTGAGCACCCAGGTAAAAAGGAGGGCTTGGAGTGTGCCTAAAATCCCAGTGCTGGGGGGCAAAGACAGAAGGATCTCCCAGACTTGCTAGCCAGGCTCGCTTGCTTGGCAGTATTGTCAGTTGGTGAGTTTTATGTTCAATGAGAAACCTCATCCTGTCTCGGAAATAAGGTGCAGCACCATAGAGAAAGACTCTGGCTTTGCACACACACGTGCACACAAACTCATCAAGGGATGAGACCTTGATGTTTCTTTGAGCCTTAGGAATGAGGAGGAAGGCTAAGTCTAGACTCCTGATAGGCTCAGTCATTTCGAGTATTTGAAGGTTTAGATCATGTCTGTTTATTGCCCTGGTATTCCCAGTGTTTTGAATACTCTCTTATACATCGTAGGTGTTTTACTGAATAGAAAAGTTTTTCCTTGAATCTTGGTTTGCTTTGCTGCATCAAAACAGCAGTCAGAGCGTGTCATACTGTTTATTTCGGTGCTACTGATGGCGTCTTTGCAGGATTTTCGGGGTGGATGGAAAGTAGCATCGCTGGAACCATTCATCTGGTAGACTTGGCTGTCTTCAGTTGGGTGCTTCACAGAAGATGCTTTCGTGTCATTGCTTGTAAAGAGCTTGAATTTGTTTTTAAAATCTTATTCTACCATTTTGAGTTTATTCTATTTCAGTTTTCTATCTTACAGTTTAAACCTTTTAACATTTCATTTTATGTCTTATGTCAGAAGATTATTCCTAAATTCATTGTAAGTGTCTACACTAAAATATTAGCTTTGTTTTCCTTCTTGACATGTTTTTTTTTAAAGGAAGTCAAGTCTGTACAGATAACTATATTTCTAATTCTATATCATTTCTTTTGCCAAGGAAATGAGTATTCTAGGTCTGCATGCTTTTCTGGTTTGACTCTTGGAAGGCTGAGTCATATTTCTTCTCAAGAGTTGCAGACTGGCCTTGGAGGTTTGAGAACACACATATACAGCCAATATGTACAAAAGGTTCGATGTGGTACCCTGGTCTATATTGTTCAAGTGTCTCTCTTCTAGGGTTCCAGTGAAATGATTTACTGGTCATTAATCTATGAAGTTCCACACAGCCTTTTGGAAGAAAGTGGAAGGAAACTCATACTTGTATGTGGATGTTTATAAACAATATGTGCTTTAAAATATGTTCTTCTTCCAGGCTTAAGCCAGAGTCCTGCAGTTATCCTGACATCAGTTCCAGACAGTTGACCCCCTGGACAACAACTCAACTATATGAAATCATGGCCGGTTATAAACCTGTAGCAATTCAGACATATCCTGTACTTGGTGAAAAAATCACCCAAGACACTCTGTACTGGAGCAATTATAGGGTAAAGTACGAGAGGAAATGAGGGAGGCGGGAGTTTGGACATTTCTTTATCTGTTTATGTCTGTTTCTCCAGCTTATGCTGGCAGAACTGTTAACTAAACTAATAGTTTAGGTGGATAATTTGTTATCTATTTTATCTTAGTGCTTCATGTAAAAGTCCATACCACTTAATTATACTAACCATGCAGATGCTTAACACAGGACGTGTGTTATGGCAAATGAAACTCTAGACTTTCCTGCTTTTTCTTACTCTGCAATTAGCTTCTCTGTACTTTCTAGTAAGACTTGGAATGCTTTTTGTTTAGATTGAGAACCTAGAAAACTAGAAAAAGTTTAGAACTAGGAGGTTTGGGGGAAATGAAATATAATCTAATAATAAAAATATAAAGAGACTGAGCCTTACTCACAGACTAAAAACAGCTATAGCTCAGTTAGTAGAATACTTGCCTGGCATGCATGAAGCCCTGGGTTCAATCTCCATCCTTGCACAAACCTATTTAGTGGTACATGCCTGTAATCCCGGCACTTGAGAGGTGGAGGCAGGATGCTAAGTTCAGAGTCATCCTTAGTTACTCAGGGAGGTTGAAGGTAGTCTCAGCCATGTGAAATAAAAAGCACTTGCTGCCTTTGCAGGGGACCTGGGTTCAGTTCCCAGCACATTGGGCAGCTTAGATTTGCTCTTAACTCCAGTTCCAGGGGATCTAGTATCTTTCTAACCTCAGCAGGCATTTCACACATTTAGACGAGCAGATATACACATACACATAAATACAAATAAGATTTAAAAAACCCACAAGATAAAACCAATTGAGATAACAGTTTAGATACTGTTGATTCTGTAATATTGGGACAAATAAAAAAGAATTGAAAAGGGCAATTGACAGTAGCTGTCATGATTTTATAAAAACATTGTTTTTGCTTTGTACTCATGGCTTAAAGCATACTAAGACATGTAAAAATATTTATTGATGTATCCAATGTAATACTGGAATTCTTGAAAATTATGTCCATTGGATGTGGACTGACTGTAAATTACGGTGAATCTTTATAAAAATGGAATGTAAATTTATTGCTTATATGCAGAGATTGCTAAGGTGGGTTAGTGGGTGCAGAAAAATGTAGATCTGTTTTATGGTCTGGTCATCTTTATATTAAATTAGAATCATAGTTGGTAGATGCAGGCTTAGCTCTTCTTTCTCTTGGGCATCGGAGTAAAGTCAGCGCTGAGACAGCAGGATGTGGCTCTCCAGCTGTTCTTATCTTCCAGTGTCAAAGGGGTAGTCGGGATGGGCAGCAGGACAATTTTTGTTTCACTTTCCTGTCTCTTTACCCTTCCTCTTTTCCTCATATTTCTCTAAACACAGCCTACTAAATGGTACTTAGAACAAAAAGAAGCGATCTGAAGGATAAATAGCATAATTCTTAAGTATGGCTCGCGTTTTTAACTCTGCCAATACTCTTCTTTTTCATTAAGACTCCTGTTCAGATTAAGGAATTTGGTGCAGTGTCCAAAGTGCACTTTTCTCCTCAGCCTCCATATAACTACGCAGTCACAGCTTCTTCGAGAGTAAGTACAACAGTGAGCATCTTTGTTCTTGGTGTAGGATTTACTGCTGAGCTTGGGCCATCTAGTGAGGTGCTGCTTTTTGTCTTACAGATCCACATTTATGGCCGGTACTCTCAAGAACCCATAAAAACCTTTTCCCGTTTTAAGGACACAGCATACTGTGCGACTTTTCGACAGGATGGTCAATTGCTTGTCGCTGGCAGTGAAGATGGTGTAGTTCAACTTTTTGATATCAGTGGGAGGGCTCCCCTCAGGCAGTTTGAAGGCCATACGAAGTAAGACCCAGTTTGATGTGATTTTGTGTTCATTTGTTGTTTTTCTCCTGAGCGCTCTGCCCCATGCTTTTGATAAACATTGGTTGTGTGAAGATTATGCCTGTATGTACTTTATTTTCTGTTTTCTCAGAGAAAGAACTTAACCTGAGTTCTGCCATTCAGTTCCTAGAGCTTGTGACTGCTCTAGAGTTGTGTGTGATGTTTAGAAAGTGGTCTTGTCTAGGAGGTTCGGTGGGACCTGTGACCAGCTGAAGATGGGAACCACTGGTCTAACAGCAGCCTTCCAGCTCTATTGATGCTGTCGGCTCGGCTGGCTTAGACCCTCTTAGCTCAAGTCATGCTGCCTTTGTTTTCTTTGATTTCTGGTATTTGCCCCTTGATAAATTCAGGTTTCTGACTTTTGTTTCAGGATCACTAGAGTCATTGCTGAAATCTGCTATTGATTTAAAATATCCAAGTGTTTCTCTTTATTTTCTTTTTTTAATTGCAAACTGTCAGGATGTTTATGCCCATCATTGAAACACTCAAAACAGAAACTCTTCATAGCTAGTCTTTCTCAAGTCTTTTCAAAGAGCTCTTTGTTATGTTTTAAAAAGTGTACCTTTGCAGAGCTGGAGAGATGGCTCAGTGGCTAAGAGCTTACTGCTCTTGCAGAGGTTCAATTTCCAGCCCCCACATGGTGGCTCACAACTGTCTATAAGCCCAGTCCCAGGACATCTGAGGGCACCAGGCATGCGTGTAGTGCACAGACACCCATGCAGATAAAACATCATTCTATAAAATTAGTAAATAAATAAATAAAAACTTTAAAAAATTACCTTTGTTGCAGCATTTAGAACCCTGTTTTACTAATGAATGTATATTGTTATGTAATATTCTTGCTAACCTAATAGTAACATGGTATCACACTTTGGGACATAGTATTACATTTACATACAAACACCCATTTTTCTCTTATTTTTTCTTTCATAAATCTTTTCTATGTTCTGAAGCTAAGTATTTATTTACTCATTGTGTGTGTTTGGGTGTGCACATGCCTGTGGAGGTCAGAGGACACATTCAGGAGTTCTCTCTTTTCATCATGGTGGTCTCAGAGACAGCTCTGGTTGTCCCTCTTGCTGGCCTTAGGACTCTTTTTGCTTGGTTTTTTTTTTTTTTTTTTTTAAACCTAGGAAGGATCATTTATGCAAGCAGCGGAGTTCTTCCTTTTTTGTAATCTGTTAACTTTTGATCTTTCAGAGCAGTTCATACGGTAGATTTTACAGCTGACAAGTATCATGTGGTCTCTGGAGCTGATGATTATACAGTTAAATTATGGGACATTCCAAACTCCAAAGAAATTCTGACATTCAAAGAGCATTCTGATTATGTGAGGTGTGGCTGTGCTAGCAAACTGAACCCAGACCTTTTTGTAACAGGTTGGTAATTGCTTCTACTTTATTGCTATAGATTCTTTAGGGTGGAAGGATTTAAATTTTCTTTAATAGATGGGGGTTAGTGGTGGAGCACTTGCCTAGTATGCATGAGACCCTAGGTTCAGTTCTCAGCACCATAAAATATGTGTGTGTGTGTGTGTGTGTGTGTGTGTTTGATTAAAGTCAGTTCTTCTTTGTTTACTTTTTCTTCTCTTGATAGTGGGTTTTGTTCCCTCTAAATGCGTTTGAGAATACCTTCAGCTGCTTGACAGCATCCTAGGTGCCAGGTTGTAGTGGGCTCACGGTACCCTGGTTGTTATAGAGCCCCAGCAGCTGCAGCACTGTAGGTGGAGCTCGGTTTGTGTGGCTGCTTGTACAGATTCTCAGATGATGACATGGTGACAGGAGTGGATTCTGTGTAGTATTACATAGTACTGTGTGATTAGAAACAGTAGGAGCAGAAGGCTTGGAAGTACTGACTTTATGAATTATGTGTGTATTTTCAAAAAATCTCATGTAAAGTTTTTCTCCTTTTAGTTTTAGTATGTGGATAGACAAACTTTTTAAATTGTTATAAAGAGCAAAATTCACATAATACAAACATTTACATTTCAGGGTCATATGATCATACTGTGAAGATGTTTGATGCCCGGACAAATAAAAATGTTCTCTGTGTCGAGCACGGGCAGCCAGTGGAGAGTGTCCTGCTTTTCCCCTCTGGAGGTCTTCTGGTGTCTTCAGGTATCGTTTCTCAAAATAGCTTTCACCACTGTTGTTGGTCTCAAGTAGAGTAGATATTTCTTTTTGAATTTTCATTTGTAGTTTGTTGGTGTTTCTTGAATTTCATATCTCAGTATTTGTTCAGCGGCTAAGTGGGAAGGGCCAGAACTGTCATTTCCTGTGTCTGACTCGCACTGGCACTGTCTGCTGTTCGCACGTCACCATCACCGCTAGTGCTAGACAGCCCTCCTGGTAGTTAGCACTCTATTTTATAATTAAGGAAATAATGCGGGGCGGGCGGTAGTGACGCACTTGGGAGGCAGAGGCAGGCAGCTTTCTGTGAGTTCAAGGCCAGCCTGGTCTACAGACCGAGTTTCAGGACAAGCTCCAAAGCTACAGAGAAACCCTGTCTCAAAAAAAACAAAACAAAACAAAAAGAAATAATTAAGGGACTAATGAAAGCATCAACTAGTTTATCCAAGGCAGCATGGTGACTGGCAGGCTTTAAGTCCTGGGGCATGAGAATTTACTAGAGAATATATGTGTCCCACCTGACCACGCAAGTCTGCTCTCTTCCCCTTCTGTTATTCCAGCTAAGAAAGCAGCATAGCTTTGGCAGCCTTCCCTTGGGTCTGGAATCGTGTAACTGGCAAGTTCCTCTCCAGCAAACAGCACACATGCTGGAGAGGACAGATGTAGAGTGAAAAAGGCCAAGCTTGATGCATTTCCAACAGAGTGGAGTTGGATGGGTTTTGATATGTTTACTAAAATGAATTTTTGTAGTCATAATGGGAGAAGTGGTTCGATCTTTTCATTTGTTCATAAAGCAAAACTGTTGATATCGGAAGAATGTATTTACCTGGCCCTCTGTAGCTTCATATTTCTCCTTTTTTAAAATATGTTTTATACATGTTTTCATACTTGTTTGACTTAAAACATTTTTTATGCCATTGTTAGACATAATTCTTTCTTGTTTTGAGAAGTGGAAATGAATAAGTTGAATGCGGAGGGTGGAAACCTGTGCCACCAGCTAGTTATGTGTCTTGGACAGCCCCTTAACATCCTGGCGTCCTGAGAAGGAGGAGCTGTATTAGAGGAGTGACTGCCAACTGTGCTCCTCATAAGCTGCCGCATTCAAACGGGAAGGTGGGCATCGAGTTGAGCATAGGCCCAGTGCCTTGACCAGGGCAGATGAGAACAATATTCTCCTCTACACACTTTTTTTTCTGTCTCCTATTAGACTTTTACTTGGTGGTTTTTGTTTTTTGCTGCTGCTGCTTCTTCTTCTTCTTCTTCTTCTTCTTCTTCTTCTTCTTCTTCTTCTTCTTCTTCTTCTTCTTCTTCTTCTTCTTCTTCTTCTTCTCCTTCTCCTTCTCCTTCTCCTCCTCCTCCTCCTCCTCCTCCTCCTCCTCCTCCTCCTCCTCCTCCTCCTCCTCCTCCTCCTCCCCTTCCTCCTCCTCTTCCCCCTCCTCCTCCTCCTTCTTTTCCTCCTTCCCCTCCTCCTCCTACTACCTCCTCCTCCTTTTTTTTTGATACAAGGTTTCTATTTAGCCATGGCTGTCCTCAAACTCTCAGAGATTCACCTCCCTAGTGCTGGGATTAAAGGCATGTGCCACCACCACCTGGCTCTCCCATAGACTTTCATATGTGAATGCTTGATCCCAGCTGGTGGGACTGTCTGAGAAGGATTGGGAGGAGTGGCCTTGTCAGAGGGGATGTGTCAGTGGGGGTGGGCTATACTTGGTGTTTTATTGAAAGTATTTACAACTTATTTTATGAATATGTCTGTGTACCATATTACTCAGTATCCTTGAAGTTCAGAAGAGGGTATCACATATCTTGGAACTCGGATTTAGATGGTTGTGAGCCACCATGTGGGTGCTGGGAACTGAACCCAGGTCATCTGAAACAGCAGCAAGTGCTCTTAACTGCTGAGCCATCTCTCCAGCTCCTAAAAAAAATTTTTTTTAAATCATAAGATTAAGTTACCTTTTATTTCCTTTTGATTCTTAGAGTAAATTACTGGGAAGTCTTTGTGGGAGTTCATAAAATTTTTAGGAAGCAGTATCTATATTATTGATTTCCATGACTCTACAGTAGTCCTTAAATTTTTTTAGTTTGTATGTGTACATATGTACATGTGTACGTGAGTGGTGTTCAAAGGACAACTTTGATGAGCCAGCTGTCTCCTACCATGTGGGTCCCAGGAATCAGGCTTGGCAGGAAGGGCCTTTACCTGGAGTTATTTCACAGGCCCAGTATTCTCCTCAGCAAACTTACTGTGCTTTACTTGGAATATTTTCAGTTCCCTATTTGTTCTGCTGGAAGTGAAATAAGCAGTAGCTTAGCCAGGCTAAGGCTTCTGTGAGCAGGGGTTTCTACCAAGCACCACTCCCAGCGGCGGGTGGGGTCGGGCGTGAGGTCTGGCTCCGAAGCTTTACCTAGCCCAGGGAGGATGCCTCTGAGAGCTCCATCATTCTGAGCATGTAGGCAGAATATCACACAAGTGGTTACTTCTTTCCACAGGCGGTCGTTACGTCAAAGTCTGGGACATGTTAAAAGGAGGACAGTTGCTTGTGTCCTTGAAGAATCATCATAAGACTGTGACGTGTTTGTGTCTGAGCAGCTCTGGACAGAGGTTGCTCTCCGGCTCACTAGACAGGTAGAATTCTAGTTTTCTTGTGTGTTGTTGTTAGCACTTACTGCTTGAGAAATTGAGTTATTTTTAGCAGTATTTGTGGTTATAAAATGTTCTAATGGTTTTCATAGAGAATAAAAATCTATTGCTTTGAAATAGTTTGATCTTTTATATACATGTAACTACTTATATTCCCCCAGAAATAAATTATCTCTTGCTTTAGCTTATACACTAGAACAATATTGCTTACTCACTTGAATACTGATCTTTTGAAATAGTTTATTTTCTTATAGTTTCTTTTAAAATCATTGTGTGTGTGTTTGTGTGTGTGTGTGTGTGTGTATGTATTTTGAAGTTTTCATTCTGAGGATATATTTTATTCTGGGTTACATTCTTTAAAATATAAAACTACAGCTGGGAGTAGTGACAGGCCTTTAATTCCAGCATTTGGAAAGCAGAGACAGGTGGATCAATGTGAGTTCAAGGCCAACATGGTCTATATAGTGAGTTCCAGGATAGCTAGGGCTACAGAGAGACCCTGCCTCAAAAACAAAACAAAGAAAATTTTAAACATCCTGTGATATTTCTATGCATTAATGTGGTGTGAGTACTATGATTTTTAGAGCACTTACCTAGCTTGTGCAAGGCCCGTCATTCTGTCCCTAGCCCTGAGAAGTCATCTAAATAATCAATTTAAGTATTCTACTTTTGGTGTTCTAAAACTGTTGTTGAATAAACTCATAATGCAGACTGCATATGTAAGTTTAAATGCTTTAGTAAGCCACATTAAAAAACGTTAAAAAAAGTCAGGCATTGTGCATGCCTTTAATCCCAGTATTCGGGAGGCAGAGGCAGGTGGATCTCTTTGAGTTTGAGGTTAGCCTGGTCTGCAGAGCAAGTTCCAGGACAGCCAGGCTACACAGAGAAATGCTGTCTTGAAAACAAAACAATGAATGTGCACAGTAAGCCACAAGGTAGGGTTCCAAAGCCAGCCCAGCCCTCAGTTGGGTACAGAAGCAGCATCCCTGGCCTCCTCCCCTGCACAGCAATAACATTGCATGTCTTACAGAAAATTTCTTTTACTAACATATTTTATGTAGTCCATTATCTAATGTAAAAGTAAAATGCATAATATATGAACTATCTTTCAACATGTAATCAGTTTACTTAGTAAGATGCTAGAAGTGAATTTTGTCTCTAAAATGTACACCATAATATTATATAAACGTTTCTATGGTTTTACCTCCTCTTCTGTAGCTACATGTCGGGTGCAGTACCACATGTGACTAGTACTGCAGACTGTAGGATTTCCTTTTTTACTGTTAGTCGGTTTGTCTCCAGGCTGCCACTTCTCCCTGATGTTAGGAAAAGACATGCAGTGTTACTGCAGTTCAGGGGAGGAGCCAGGGATGCTGCTTCTGTACCAGCAGAAAGCTGTGCTGGCCTTGGAAGCCTGCCTTGTGGCTTACTGTGCACATTCATACATTCATTGATCCTTTGTTTTATTCCTGTGGCTTATCTTCAGATGACATTGGTTTATCGTCTGTCTTTTGGATTCTTTTATAAACTCCTAGTTAGTTTTTAATCAAACCTGGCTAGTAATGAAATATAGTTAGCTTTTCAAGGAACTTGGTGACAAAGTACTTTGCAATTAATATTACATCAATGTTTTTCTGGACTGTGTAAATTTTATTTTATTATTTATTCATTTATTTATTTTTCAAGGCAGGATTTCTCTAGCCATAGGTATTCTGGAACTAGCTCTGTAGACCTGGGTGGCCTTGAGCTCACAGAGATCCTCCTGCTTCTGCTTCTCATGTACTGGGATTAACAGTAAGCATCCAGTTTGACTGTGTAAATTTTTGTATTTATATAGTTTGCTATAAACAGAAACTTGGTCGGACGATGGTGGTGCACACCATTAACCTCAGCACTCAGGCAGGGGCAGGCAAATCTCTGTGAGTTCAAGGCCACCTGGTATACAGAGCGAGTTCTTGGACAGGCTCCAAAGCTACACAGAGAAACCCTGTCTCAAAAAAAAAAAAAAAATGAAAACGAAAAAAATCCAGAAACTTGGTGTTTTCACTCATTTCTGAGGTGACTTGACAGAATTTTTCTTTCTCACCAGGAAAGTCAAGGTCTACAGCACAACTTCCTACAAGGTCGTCCACAGCTTTGACTACACAGCTTCCATCTTGAGTCTGGCACTTTCTGTACGTACTTTTAGCTCTTTTCAAGTTGTTACACACCATGCCCATGAAGTAAAAGTAAAGTGGAATCTTTGAGGTTACTTTTGGATTTAATAAAGCACATTAGTTGCTTGAGTCAAGACAGTTGCTAGGATGTGATGTTTTCTGATAACTGCATGAATTCCCTCCCACTTGGTGGCACTGACTGCTGTCATGGTAACACCAAGGCTGGACTAGGACCTTGTTAGCTCTTCCTTCAACAAACTCAAGGTGTTACAAAGCCCAAGAATGGCAGAGAGAGCAGGGACAGCTGAGTGAGCACTGTGCTTTCTGGAATGTTTACTGTTAGGTTTTATGAGGAGCCACATTTGGGCCAGAAGATACCTGAAATGTTACATGGGAGAGGAAGAGCTCTTGTGGGAGAGTTGGCTTCCGAGAGCATGGCCCTGTGTATCCCACTTTCTTCTCTAAGTGCACACACACTTACTTGACACTTGTCAAGAGGTCACCAGCATCTTATTAGCATGAGCCGCCAACGCCAGCACTCATCCCACGCGCTTCACTGGCCGTGCTGTAGAGGGGGAGAAGGTCTGTCCTGACGGTGGTTTTGCGATAACATTTTGGGTAGATGATTGTTAGGAGTGTCTGCATTGACGGGAACTGTGGGTAAGAAGTAGCAGACATGGTATCAATGCTGTTTTGAGTCAAAGGTACTATAAAATGTTGGGTAAAAATAGACTGATTTTTCTGATTACCGTTAGCATGAAGATGAGACGATAGTTGTGGGGATGACCAATGGAATACTGAGCGTTAAACACCGGAAATCAGAGTCAAAGAAGGAATCTCTCCCGAGAAGGAGGCCTGCATATCGAACCTTTATTAAAGGAAAGATTTACATGAAACAGCAGGTAAGTATGTATTTTTTATTATTTCTAAAATATTGACATTCCTGAATTTACTGCAAAGTATGACTCATAAGAGGTACATTTATTTTGCTTCTTTTTCCATCAGAGTTGGTTCCAGATTGCTATAGTACATTATTGAAGAATAACGGGGAGCAGGGACTACCTACTTAATACCCTGAATCATGAGCTAATACAGTCTTTACCATCATCAGAATAGTGTCATGTTTGTCCTCTAAACTGCATGTGGCTGTAATGTCTCCCTAGGACCAGAGAGGGACTTAATGTAAAGTTCGGGTGGTCCAGGAGGTCACCAGAGCTGTGACTACTAGATCCGAGTCTCCGGTTTGTTTTCTTCTCTTTATATGCAGTCATACTGCCTGCTTATTCATTTTTTTTTGAATAAGTTTGCTCAGAATAGAGCTACTTACATATATATAAGCTAAACATCATAAGAGTACATTAACATGGCAAAGTATCATTTAGATTATGATTATGATTATTACTGTTATTATTACACAGGAACACTATTTGTTGTGTATTGTAAAAACATCCTGACTTTAAAATGTTTCACTTTATTGTGAATACTTTTTTTTTTTTTTTTTTTTTTGGTTTTTCGAGACAGGGTTTCTCTGGCTTTGGAGCATGTCCTGGAACTAGCTCTGTAGACAAGGCTGGTCTCGAACTCACAGAGATCCGCCTGCCTCTGCCTCCCGAGTGCTGGGATTAAAGGCGTGCGCCACCATCGCCTGGCCTCATTTATTTTTATTTATATATATTTTTATTGATTATTTGTGGATTTCCCTTCATGCACTCTGGTCCTACTTACCTCACTGTCCCCTGCTCTTGCAACCTCCCCCAAAACAAAACCAAATTTAAAAGAAAACAAAACAAATAAAGGAGACTCTTGTCATGGAACTTGTAGTGTGGTCAGTTGAGACACAGTTTACCGTTCAATCTGTTTATCTTTACTTGCAAGTGTTGATTGCCACGAGTCATTGATCTGGCTCGAGGCCTCTGGATTCTGCTAAACTACCATTAATGGCTGTCTTTGGGACTCCTCTTGGATATCCTGTTGTTCTGTGTCATGGAGATCCTGCTGTTTGGGATCTGTAGGTTCATCCCCTTCACATGCTCCAACGGTTCCTAGATTTGGTGGATGCTGGGGTGGGCCAACTCGTAGGCCTGGTTGTAGGCGTGGGTGGTATCTGAGTTGGTCAACTCACTAGCGTTCCCTCGTTGTCTCAACCCGGATGAGCTCTTCGGCACTGCCTTGGCCAGCTCACCCAATGCAGCCTACGGCAAGGAGCTGTAGCAAGCTCTCCTGCTCTTGGCCCCTCAGATCTGGGTTCCCCTCACTCTTATCACCAGGGCCAGCTCTAATGGAAAACATTTATTTTAATGGAACTGTATAGATAGTAATTTTCTTCCTCTGTAAATTTGCTTTTTCATTCAGGATGACATCATGATCAACAGACCAGCAAAGAAGCACCTAGAATGGTATGACAGGGACTTGAAAAGTTTCCGAATATCAAAGGCACTTGACAGAGTCCTTGAGGTAAGTGAGAAACACGTTCTTTCCACTTAACTAGGTTTTAATTTTGTGTGTGTGTGAGGGGGGGCAGGGTCCATGTATACGCATGTGGGAAGGCCAGAGATCAGTGCTGGGTGTTTGCCTCAGTTGTTGTCCATCTTCTTGAGATCATGTGTATCTTAGTCTGCTTCCTTTGCTGTGTAAAGAGCGAGACCAAAGTAGCCTGGGCAGGAAAAGAGTTTACAGTGCATCAGGAGGTTCAGAAGTCAGGACAGGACCTCAAGGCAGAGAGACCTGGAAGCAGGAACTGAAGTGGAGACCATGGAGGAGCACTGTTTACTGCTTGTTCCTCATGGCTTGCTCAGCCTGCTTTGTTGAACAGCCCAGAACCACCTGCCAGGGGTGGCACCACCACAGTGAGCTGGGCACCCACATCAAGAAAATACTCCCACAGTCTTGTCCACAGGCCAGTGTAATGAAGGCATTTTTCAACTGACGTTCTCTCTTCCCAGATGACCCTGGCTTGTGTCAGGTGATAAAAAGTCTATCCGAGGCAGGGTCTGTAACTGAACTAGGAGCTTACCAGGTGGCTGGCTGGATGGCCAGTGAACCGTCAGGATCCCCTTGGTTTTCTTCCCGGCATTGAGATCGGTGATTTACGCTGCCATGTTTAGTGAGGAGCTCTTGAAGAATCATTCTAGCTGAGTGGTGGTGGAACACACCTTTAATCCCAGCACTCAAGAGCCAGAGGCAGGCGCTCTCTAGTTCAAGGCCAGCCTGATCTATAGAGTGAGTTCCAGGACAGCCAGGACTAAACAGAGAAGCCCTGTCTCAAACAAAACAAAACAAAACAAAAATAGTCTCTGGTATTATGGCTCTTGCCTCTAATCCTAGCACTTGGGAGGCTGAGGCAGGCAAATCACATGTTTGAGGTCAAACTGGGCTACAAAATAAAGTTCAAGGCCCGCTGTGGCTTGTAAAGTGAGACCCTGTCAGAAAAAAAGGGAAAGGGCTTGGGGAACCGTCTTGCCGATGGGTTTGATTTACCATGACTTGGGATTGTGAAGATAAGCTTGGTAGTTCAGTGCAGGGTAGTGATCTTTCTCTCGTCTGTCTTTTTGACTGTACTGACTCTAAACATTTTCTAGCCTAATTGTGTAATAAAGACGCCCGAGGTTACAGTTTCCATCATAAAGGAATTGAATCGGAGAGGAGTCCTTGCCAATGCTCTTGCAGGTCGGGATGAGAAGGAGATTACCCGGGTTCTGAACTTTTTGATAAGGTATGCTTGCTTGACTTGGGTTTTGTGGCTGAAGTCCTCCGTTATTACCCAGTGAGACACCTACTTTTAATTTGCTCTTTACAGAGAATTGGTGAAACAATTAAAGTTTGTTTTAGGGATGGTTTTCTTTTTTTAATTTATCTATTTTTATTATTAATTAAATTTTTTCATTTATTTTACATTCCAACCACAGTTTCTCCTCCTTCCTCTCTTCTGGTTTCCCTCCTCTCCCCCATCCACTCCTCCTCAGTCTCCCATGGGAATCAACAAAACATCAAGTTGAGGCAGGACCAAGCTCCTCCCCATGCATCAAGGCTGAGCGAGGCAATTCAGCATGGGGAACAGGTTCCCAAAAGCCTGCTTGAGCACCAGGGACAGGCCTTGCAAGATTCATTAATCAGAAGTTTTGCTTTGTAGGAATCTGTCTCAGCCAAGATTTGCCCCTGTTTTGATTCGCGCTGCTGAGATAATCATTGGTGAGTAGTTGTGAGAGAGACATTCCAGCAGGCCTGGGAAAGCTGAGGTGCTGGGCCTGAGCTCAGCATCTGTCAGGCGCCTGAGCTTGAGCCTCAGTGTTTGGAAAAAAATTAAAGAACCTGAAACAGAAAAACCTAGGAGTACACGTGCAATTAAAATGTTACAGCAGCAGATTTGAATTGGTTGAACTAGGATAATTACAGTTTAAGAAAGTTTTTTCCCATGACCATCTATAAGGGTGGTGGATTTTTACATTCTTATATGGCTTATGTGAAGGTGTGTATGGGCAGGTGTGTGTCCCAGCTGCTGACATTATAGGCATCTGCCACTATGCACAGCCATGTCTACATGCTTCAATTGGAGAAGGAAAGCCAGAGTTGGTATTTGGGGTTAGAACTGAGAGGTGTGTGCTAATTCCTATAAGATTCTTGTGTTCCCCTAACTGATCTTTGTTCTTTTCTTCCTTATCCATTCATCTTTGATTTATTTGCTGGTTTATTGGATTGAAAACCTCTGATTCTCTCCTAATCCTCTTTTGCTCATCTGTTTTCTCTTGATGCGAATTTTCTCAAGCTCCTGTGATCGTGGCTTTTTTCAGTGTTGTCTTATGCTGGCTTAGTGGCCATGGTTCGCTCTAGTCTACCCTCTCCGTCAGTTTTAAAGGTGGCTTCACTGGATGTAATTCTTTTGGTTGGTAGTTATTCCTCTTAGGATTGACATCACTTCCTGTTGCCCTTTCTTTTCTGAAAAGGGCTGATGTTCTAGTGCTGAGCTCACCTCTGTGAGTAATTTGGTCCTGCTGTGTGTGGTGGTCTGGTCCATGCTAGCTGCAGTGTGATACAGAGGGTTCTCCTCTCGGGATGTGTGTTTAGGGTCTGAGTGCCCCTGTATTTGGATGGCTGTATCTTTCCCTGGACTTTGAAATTTACTGCTTCAATTTCACTGCCTAGATTCTGTGTGCTTCTACAGCGAAGACTCTTAGATTTTTTCCCTTTGCCATGCCCCAAAGTTCTTGAAAGCTGTGATTGTATTTGCTTTGGTTGTTGACAACGTGTATGATGGATGTGATAATTCCTCAACCCACGATCTCCCATCTCTTGCTTGACTTAATCCAAATGTTTTCCACTGTGATTTGATTTATTGAATCTTTCATATCCAAGGTTTCCATTTGGTTTTTCTTAGAGTCTCTCTGAGGAATTCCTTGTCAGTGTCTTTGGTCTGACTGTTTCCTTCCTTCATCTGTTACATGGTTGCCTCTTTGAGGTCATTGTCTTTGTTAGGTATTCAGCTCTCTCTGTAGCTACAGGGCCACCTGATGAAGAGTTAGTGCCGTGTGGAGGACGCACACTGCTCGCTCCGCTTGTCTTCTGTTCTCCATTGTGACCACACATCTGGGGATGGAATCGCTGCTGCGTCTGTATGGAGGGACACCTTTGCTTCACATCTCTGCCTGCTACACACATAAAGAAAGCAGCCTGCAGTAGTGGCTGAAAGCCAAACCCATATTTACACGTAACAAACCACCCGAGAACAACTGCACCCCCAGGAAGGAGGGAAGTGTGAGGCCCGAGGGTATGATAGGGTTAGCCAGGAATTTAAAACTCAGTCAAGGTAAAAATAATCAGTGGAAGTTAGTGAAAGGAAAGAGAAGCAGGACTGGAGAAGAAGTACTTAGGGTGTAAGTGAGCAACCACAGCGAGGGAGAAGGAGTGGAGCAGTGTAGTACACAACAGTGCGGGGCAGCCATCTCTTCCTGCTGAGGAGATGGGGGTGGCTGTCGCAGGGCTGAGCTCTGCACACCTGCGGGCAGCCTCAACAGTGTGGGTTGTGCAGTGTCTACCCTCAGGCCACCCTCAGGAGCTGGGGACCACCAGGCTGGGTACCACTTTACATCAGAGGTACTCTACCAGTACCAGTGTGGGCGTGGGAAACACCATGCAGGGGCTGCGTTTCTGTGTAGTCTGGGGCTCAGAATGTAGAAAGCAGTCAGGCCAAGCGGACTTGTGCCAGTGGCTTCTGCACCACCACTGAGTGATGCTGAGTGCTCTGCCGGGCCAGTCTCTGCCACAGCCCCTTCCTCCCTTGCGTTCCCATGCAAGGTCTGTTATTCTCCCTCTTGCAGCTCTCAGCTGCGGTGAAAAGTTGAGGGTGCTTTAGTTTAGTCCTTGTCTCTGGTGTAGTATCCAAGTCACAACCATTTCCCAAAGTCCATATGGATTTTTGTGATGGCTACTTTCTTATCCAGTAGAGTAGAGAGACCTTTGGGGTTTAGAAATGAGAAAATGCAGAGGCTTCTGGCCCCTGGCTGGAAGAGATTAGTGGTGTAAGATGGTTCCTTCCCATGACAAGCATGAACAAACTAGGGCATGCTTGCCATGTAAGACACAGCTCTTTTTAGAGGGTCGATTGTGTGACTGGAGCCCACCGACTCTTTCTCTAGAGGGCCTGGTGTGTGACTGGAGCCCACTGAAGTGGTCTTTTTCTCTCTTGCTGAAAGCCGCACTGAGGAGGATTCACCCTGTCTGCTTCTGGGTCCTTTGTTTCATTTACAGATCTAAAGTTCAGTGTTTCTGGATTTCCCTTGGTCCTGCCTGGGACTTACTCATTCCTTTTCATGTGGTCCATTCCTTCTTGCAGCCCTGAACCTAATACTCTGTTTCAGGTTTGTCACATGTCGGCATCCTGGGGCTTCCTCCATCCTTCTCCATCTGTTTTTCCGAGACGGGTTCTGTCACTGATGCTGACGCTCAGTAGAGCTCAGCTGGTGGCCGGCCAGCCACTGGCCTTCCTGTCTCTACCTCCCCAGGGCTGGGTTCCAGTTGTGTGCCAGGTGTCCAGCTTCTTTTTCTTGTCTTTTCTATGGGTTCTGGGAATCAAATTCAGATCTTAACTGCTTGCAAAGCAAGCACTCTCCCCAGCCCCCAGTCATGTAGTTTTTAACATGAAAATGAAAATAAGACCCCATATCCTGTATTTTATATAATTATTTCTTTTCAAAAGTCATTTAATCAGATGGATTGTTATGCTTTCTATAAATTACAACTTAATTATTAAAAATACTGGTATTCAGTGTCTTTATATTTAGCATCATACTGTTTCTAAATATTGATTTCACCCACAGAAAATGTTTCTAGTTAATATACTTTCTGTCCCTTTGTAGATATATATCTGCCTGTGATTGGCCAGTCACCCATAGTTGATAAAAAGTTCATAGTACTTCAAGGACTCGTAGAAAAAGAAATCGATTACCAAAGAGAACTCCTGGAAACCTTGGGGATGATGGACATGCTGTTTGCCACCATGACGAGGAACAACAGCGCCCCTGTGGCAGAGCATGTGCCTGCTGAACTCCCAGAGGAGGAGAAGACAGAGACACCCCGTCAGCCCGCTGACGTGGACAAGAGCTGCTAACTGGGAGTTGTTTGACTCTTAATCGCTGAGAAGACGGCATCTTCAAGACATTCAAAGAGATAATTTATAGGAGTTTTATGGAAGAGACTGGGTTAGTTATAATTGGGAAATAAGTACCTGTTTGAAGACATGGTTTTCCATGTATTAATTTGGTTGATTTTTGTGGCATCTTCTGCTGGAAGATTTTAGGTGTTTTGGTCACAGTGTCTTGTCGACCCTGGATGAGTTGATACTGATTTTAATGGAGTCAAACCTTGGTTGCTGTGGGGCAGAGTTCTGCCAAGGGAACAGCACCTTGGTTTTTGTTTTGTTTCTACTTCTAGCCTGGGAAATATCAAGAACAAACAGCAACAGCAGAACCTCTTTCTCTGTTTGCAGTGCCCCTGAGAACTTTGGTCTCTTTTGCTGTTGTCCTTGAAGTCCTGGGTCACACATTCTCCCCAGCTGCTTGTGGGACTGTCTTCCAAGTGTGGCAGATCATAGACTATTGCTCCTGGAAGCATAGTTAGGGTGTTAGTCCTTGCTTACCTATGAACTGTGCTCTCCACGGTGTTGTCTTTAGTTTGCTTATCAGGACAAAGTCCAGAGCAATCTGACTGAACCAGTCCGTCCTAGTGTGCTGCCTTCCCTCCAGCTTCACCTGCCTCAGTCTGTGAGAAGGCTGTCCTGCCTTCAAGGTAATGGTGCATCAGCCTGTGCGCATGTTCAGAACAGTTCTCTTTCCTGTACCTACTCTTCTTTTTCTCTGTTCTTTATGTTGTGGGTCTGAACCCTAAATGGGGCAGTTTGCTTTGAAAAATTGTGGTTTTGAAAGTTCATTGTAAACCTTATTTTTTTATAAAAAGATTCTTTTCTTTTTGACTTTCTGAGGTGTGTCAATTCCCAATGGCCAGTCAGTGACTTGTGACCAGCATACTGGTCCACAGCCATTACTTCCCTCCCTTCCTTTAGCTCCCTTACTTAGGTTAGGATGTGTTTGATGACGGCATCTTGAGCTGAAGGAGCCCTTGGGGAAAGATTTTGTAATGAGTGCTCATAATCTCAGTTTTATAAACTTAGATTCCTTAAAGCAGAAGTGGGGATATGTCTGGAATGTTCTGGTGTTTAAGTTCAACAATAGGGTATATAGGTTCCCTTTAGTGAGCTGAAACAGTTCTACAGTATGGTGTCTTGTTTGCCTTTTTGAGTAGTTACATTAGTCACAAGTGAGAGCTTGTGCTTTAAGGTTGAAAGGGTTGACCTACTTAAGTAAGTCTTCCTAAGTGTGCAGGGTTTGCACTACAGTTAGGATTCTACCTGAAGCTGTGCAGCTCTGGAGGATTTCCTGGCCATCGCTTCATTTATTCTCATCACAACTGTCTTTAAGTGTCAAGTCATTCTCTTTTAACAGTGAAATAATTCAAGTCATTCAGTTCCCCAAGCTTGAGTTCCTTATCATCCCTGCTCTGGGCTCGCCCTTTGAGAGTGCTGCAACTCTTGTGTAATATTTATAGTAATCACAGACCCTTAAGACTAGGAAACATTTCTCACAATCTTCAGTGCAATTATGTTGAGGAGATTTTGTTTGTTTTGTTTTTTTGAGACAGGGTTTCTCTGTTTATCCCTGGCTGTCCTGGAGCTCACTCTGTCACCAGGCTGGCCTTAAACTCTCAGAGATCCATACCTCTGCCTCCCAAGTGTTAGGATTAAAGGTGTGTGCTACCACACCCAATATAGGGGTTGTTTTTATATTCATTAAAGCTATTACGAAGTGTTTTAACATAATTGACATATTTCAATATGTAATGTTGGCCTTAGGAGTCAAATGCCTAATGAATTCTTAGACTTGTGCTGCTTAGTTGGGAAGTTTTTGATGTTTTACCATGGATGCAAAAATAATGAAATATTGCTGAGAATTCATTTATGTTTAATTTATTATGTTAACTCAGACTTAAACATATGGGAAGGTTTGTTTGTTTCAAGTCAGATTTCTCAAATGCCTGTGCTGTTAAATTGCTTAAGGAATCGATGTCAAATGGGATGGCTAGAAACTCCACTGACTGAACTAAATGAATTCTGCCAACCATTAAAGACTCCCTCGAATGGGGTTATTAAAATGGAGTAGTTTTCTCGGTGGGATACTTCCAAGTTAAACATTTAACAAAAGTTTGAATATGCCTAACGTTAATAAATGACCGTTGAATAGTTTTATCTTTGAACAAAGTATCCCTCAGAAACTGAACCCCTTTTGTTGGCAGATATTGTTATCTCTTCCTATGCCGTCTATTCCTGTAGCCGTGGTGCCTGGGCCAGGGCTGGTATATCTGACTCAGGCTTCGTCTACAAATTCAGATTTACAGTGAAATTGTTCTTCTAGGTCAGAACAATTTGGTTCTCAACCTGTGAGTCTCACACCCTTTGGCAAACTTTTTCTGTCTCAAAAAATATTTACATTATGATTCAGAACAATAGCAAAGTTACAGTTACGGATAGTAATGAAATCATTTTCTGATTGGAGTCACCATGAGGAACTGTATCAAAGGGCTGCAACATTAGGAAGGTTGAGAACCACTGCTCTAGGGAGATGTGGGAGGCTGGGGATGCTGTGTTGGGGTCTTCAGCAGAGGAAGCCCTTTCCAGAATGCATCTTACATGCAGAGAAAATAAAGTCAGTGAAGGCCCTGCCTCCCCAGATAGAAGTGCTTACTCCCTGCCCACTTTCTCTCCCCTTTATCTTGTCTGTACTTCTTCCTTCTCCATGAAGTTCCTTTGGAACTCTCAATAAATTTATTTTTCTTACTGCCCGAGTTTGAGTAGATTTTAAAACCAAATGGCCGAAGACTCCGTGATCTTGAGACACTGAGATCCGGAGGTTATTGAAATGAACAAAATAAACCACAGTCCATTTTAGCCAACATTGTGGTTGAGGAAAGGTCTGGTAACGTCTGTAGTGGATCAGATGATGTTCAGTGATGTGCAGAACAGTCCAAATGTAGGAAAGACTGACGTGTTTCCAGCTGGTGTTATCATTGGCTTCTGTCCTAGACTCACTCACACACCTAGGAAGAGAGAACCGAAATTGAGGAATTGTCTCCTCCAGATTGGCCTGAGGATATATCTGCGGGGTCTCCTCCAGATTGGCCTGAGGATATATCTGCGGGGCATTTTCTTGATTACTAATTGATGTGGGAGGGTCCAGCCCACCGTGGGTGGTGCCATTGCTAGGCAGATGAGCCTAGGGTATGTAAGAATGGTAGCAGAGGAAGGCGGATCTCTGTGAGTTTCGAGGCCAGCCTGGTCTACAAGAGCTAGTTCCAGGGTAGGCTCCAAAGCTATAAAGACACCCTGTCTCAAAAAGCCAAAAAGAAAAAAAAATGGTAGCTGAACTTGAGTCTGGGAACGAGCCAGTAGGCAGTGTTCCTCCATGGTCTCTGCTTCAGTTCTTGGTTTACATTAAATGGTGGACTATCAGCTAAATAAATTCTTTCCTCCCCAAATTGGTTTTGGTCAGTGTTTTATCACAGCAAGAGAAGGCAATTAGGGCAGCTGGCATCGAAGACTGCCAGATGGTCCAGAATAATTAAGAAAGAAAGCATGATAAGTTTCATACAGAGACTGAAATCTGGCTAAGGACATGAGGTCAGTTGAAGAGTTTTGGTTTGCATGCTAGAGAGACTGAGCTAGAAACATTAAAGGTGTTGGTTTTTGGTTTGTGGTTTTTTTTTTTTTTTTTTTTAAGGAAATCAGCTCTTGCAATCATGGAGGTTAAGTCTAACATAAGCTTGTCTACCAAGCAGATAATGGGGGCAATTGGTAGTGGGGCTCATTCCAAGTCAAAAGGACTTGGAACCAAGTCCAAAGTCAATAGTATAATTTTGAGTCTGAGGCTAAAGGCCCCTTTCTGACATCCAAGGGAAGGGAAGAATGTCTCAGCTGATGGATGGGGATTCATTTTTCTGTCCCTTTCCCGGCCTTGAGCCAACTGGATGACACCTCTCTCCACTGATGAGATCTTCCTTACATAGATTCATATTCTAGTTTCTTCTGAAATTGTCCTGCCCAGTGTACTTAGCCCTAATATTTCTCCAGTCATCTGGCTATTATTAAATCCACATAGTAGCTCATGTCTGTACATTAGCATTCTGTATATTTCCGTCAAGCTGATGCCCTGAGGTCCTAGGGTTGCGGCAACACTGGTTATTACATTAGGCATTAGAACATTAGGAAGCCGCTGTTCACTTGAGGTTTCTTATATTGAAGACAGTCTAAATGTTCTCACCACCTTGCTCCCTTACTAGATGTCTTAGTGACTGTTCTGTCGCTGTGAAGAGACACCATGGGCAAGGCAATTCTAATAAGAGAAAGCATTTAACTGGGGACTTACTATTTTAGAGGTTAAGTCCACTATCATGGCGTGGCTACATGCCGGCAGGCGCTGGAGCAGTAGCTAAGGGCTATATTCTGATCTGTAGGCAGAGAGTAACACTGGGCCTTGTGTGGGCTTTTGAAACCCCAAAGTCCACGCCCGGTGACACTTTTCCTCCAAGGCCACACCTAGTCTTTCTCAAAGAGAGGTACTCCCTGATGCCTAGGCATTTAAATATATGAACCTATGGGGGCTGTTGCTATTCAAACCACCACACTGAAACTGCTTGCTTAACTCTTGGTCTGGATAGAAGGCAGGTAGCTGGTTGGTCTACAGCATGAGTTCCAGGACAGCCATGTCCACACAGAGAAACCCTGGGTGGGGAGCATGGGGGGGGGGACAACAGAATGAGAGGGAGATGGTGGGAGGGAGGAAGGGAGGGAGAGAGTGAGAGTTTTTAAAAAGTTAAAAACCCTGACACAACATGAGGAAAGGAATCCCCAAAGATGCGACTAAATTTTTTCTGTTAGACAACTGCTCCTAGGTACGCAGTCTTCTCTTAAGAGTAGTTTGTTTTCCCAGTGAGACTCCCTTGGAGGAAGCTACATTTTTACTGGGTTAGGGATGGGGGGTAATATGCCCATTTCTTTCAGCTCCAGGACCCCATCTGGGGGAAAATCCATCCTTCTACCACCTTCTATAGGTCTAGTTTTATAGATGAATATTGCTTACATTTAGTTTTATTGTAGAATGCCATGTTTTCTCCATCTGTTGTTATTGAAAGTTTTGCTGGGAATAGTAGTCTGAGCTGGCATCTGTGAACTCTTCGAGTTTGTAGGACATCTATCCAATCCCCTGCAGCCTTTAATATTCTTTCTTTATTCTGTGCCTTTATTGTTTTGACCGTCATGTGCCAAGGGGGATTTCTTTCCTATGGGTCAGTCTATTCTATGCTCCATATGCTTCTGTACCTTGAAAGGCATCTCCATCTTTGGATTAGGGAGATTTTCTTCTGTGATTTTGTGGAAAATATTTTCTGTGTCTTTGACTTGTGCGGGAGGCACTGAGGGCCCTGTGCTCACAGATAAGCACTAGGAGAACCTGGAAAGTCAAACACACAGTGTTGTGTGTGATGTCTTTGTGTCCCACCAGCCAGCTCTCAAAGAATGACATGGAGACTTACTATTAGTTATGAAAGCTTGGCCTTTAGTTTAGGCTTGTTTTCAATTAGCTCTTATAACTTAAACTAACCCATATTTTTATTAATCTACATTCTACCAAGTGGCTTTTACCTCTATCCCATTCTGTATGTTTAACTCCTTCTACACTGGATGGCTGTTGTGTGATGTTTTACTCTTTTGTCTTTTTTGTGGGGTGGGAGGAGAGGCACCACCCAGCTCCCAAATAAATCACACACGGAGACTTATTTTTACTTATGAATGCCTGGCCTTAACTTGGCTTGTTGCTTGCCAGCTTTTCTTATCTTAAATCACCCCGACTATCTTTTGCCTCTGGGCTTTTTCCTTTTCTTCTGTATATCTTTCCTTCTTACTCCATGGCTGGCTGGGTGGCTGGCCCCTGACACCCTCCTCCCCTTGTTTTCTCATTGCTGCTTCTTTTCCTCCTTTCTCCTTCTATTTATCCTCTCTGCCTGCCAGCCATGCCTATCCTTGCTTCTCTCTCGCTACTGGCTTTTTATTAGACCATCAGGCATTTTAGACAGGCAAAGAATCACAGATTCACAGAGTTAAGCAAATGCAGCATAAACAAAAGCAACACATCTTTACATCATTAAACAAATATTCCACAGCAGAAACAAAAGGAACACACCTTAGAATAATATTCCCCAACAGCTGGCATCTCCCACGCACCTAAATTCATCGCAAGTTTCCTCTCTCTGTCCTGAAGTCCTGCCTATCTCTTCTGCTTAGCTATTGGCCATTTAGCTTTTTATTAAACCAGGCTCCTTAGGCAGAGACACCTCTTTACAGTGTAAACAAATATTCCCCAACAGTTGTTCTTCCTGTTACCCGCCCAGAAGTCTGGAAGGGGATGTGGTTAATAACCTGATGACAATTGCACTGTGTGGCCGAAGACCAGTCTGGATCCTACCCAGACCCTGGTCATAAGGTTGTTTTTTCCCAGTCAATCCATAGACCCCATCATTCTAGAAGGTGGCACATGTACTTTACATAGTGTTTTGATGTAGTCCTATCTTTAGTTTTATTTAATTTACTTTGTTCCTAGAAGATATTTATGTACTTTTAATACACACAGGATTGAATTTATTACCACCAAGAAAGTTTTCACCAAACTGGGCTGTGCTTAAATAAACTACTTATGGTTAGAATCCCGAAGTTTGAAACACCAGCTTCTTTATCTTGTTGAACCAAGCTACCCTCTTGCCTCCCATGGATCACTGCTCTGCTTCTGGGATGTCCGCAGAGGAGGACGGTCAGCTGGCTGCTTTCTCTGCCTCTCTTAGCTAGTAGGCTTTCCCCCCAGCATCTGGCTCCTAAGTCTTTATTGGTAAAATTGAACAGTTGAGGTTTTGCTAAACACAACAGCTGGGCTGTAATGGTGCCATATTGCCCTGGCTGTTGCTGATTGTGTTCTTTTGTTTGTTTGTTTGTTTTTGTTTTTTGAGACAGGGTTTTTCTATAGCTTTGGAGCCTGTCCTGGAACTAGCTCTTGAAGACCAGCCTGGCCTCGAACTCACAGAGATCCGCCTGCCTCTGCCTCCCGAGTGCTGGGATTAAAGACATGCACCACCACCACCCTGCTGCTGATTGTATTCTTATACTGGCCTCTAGTCATCAGGGTTTGGGGTTGTAGGTTTAGGTGCTGATTTCTGAGTTTATTTTTGTTAGATGGATCCCCCCCCCTTTTCTGTTTCCTCTCTTGTCTTCTGGACTTGAGAAGCCTAGGGTTCTAGTGATCAGTGAGTTTTCAGGTTCAGTAGGGTATCTCCTCTAAGGCTTTTGTGACCTGCATGACTTCTGGTGTTTTGGGTGTCTACGTTGCCTCTGGGGGTCCCAAGTACCTGTTTGGTCCCTGGGAATCTGGGTACCTCCGTGGTCACTAAGGTTCCTAGTACTGACTGGTCTGACCTCCATGAGGAAAAGAAAAATCTCTCTCCAGTAGAGACTTGTCTTAGGCTTCCTCGGAGACACGGAATTCACGGTTCACATATTGTGTGAATTTGCCAAGGCTCAGAAATACCATGATCTGCTGCTGCCGGCATCATGGAGAGCCAGGAAGGATGCGGATTCCAGCCTGAATCTGGAAGAGGGTATGTGCTAGAGGGGATTTTAGTCTTTGTCTCCAAATCTGGTGACTGGAAAGAGCCAGAAGCTCTCATGTCTGGGGAGGAGAACCTTTCCTATGGCTTTTCTTTCTAGGCCTTTAAGAGGCAACCGCATTGCTGAGGGCAG